CACTCGGGTCCCTACTAAAACCTGACAAAATTACAGGGGGCACTGTTTTTGGTTTTTGGTTTGTTTGGTTGATTGGCTGGTTTTTTAGGAGGGCTGGCTTTGAATTGGTGATCCTCCAGCCTCAGCTTCTCAAGTTGCTGGGATTATAGGCAGGTGCCACCATGCGCGGCAGGGGTCCCATTGCTTTGAATCCAGCTCTGCATCCGGCAACAGGCCAGACAAAACCAACAGAGCCACCAATGTTAAATGCTATATAATCAAACAAAATGAGAGAGGTCCCCAGACAGACCTGTTTTTCCTGGAAACATTAGACACCAGTCTCCTGGTCAGCTGATAAGAAGCCACATTCTGCTTTCACCCCCACAAAAGGAACTTGACATTAACCAATAGCTTATTCTCCTCTTGCTGTCTCTTGTTCCCACCTTATGAAGCTCACCCTTCTACCAATACCCAGGGAGTACTCGTTCTGCACTCCTCTTGCCCTTGGGGTGCTGGTACAGACACCTACACACATGCCCGGTTCTTTACATAAAACAGCGCAGGACGGGCACATAACCTACACCCATCCTCCTTCGTACTTTAAATCATCTCTGGATACCTAACAGGATGCAAGTGCTACATAAATACTTGTTCTACTGTATTCTGAAGGGATGATAAGGCTGCGCAGATTCAGGGCAGATGCAATTTTGTTATTATTGTCAATCAGCAGTTGATTGACTGTCTGGTGCACAATGTAAAGACACAGAGGCTGACTGTATTTCACAGAATGCAGACTGCCCGGCCTCATAAATCTTGAGCAAAAGCCAATTAGTTCTTCAACAAACTTTGCAGTGCATGGTGGCATATACCTGTAACCCCAGAAACTGCAGAGACTAAGGCAGGAGAATCATAAGTTTTAAACTGGCCTCAGAAATTCAGCAAGAACCTGTCTCAAGATAAAAACTAAAAAAGGTCTGGGGATGTGGTTCAGCATCCCCACTACTGAGAAAATAAAGATCTTTAACTAATTTCACTTTGGGATGCCACTGGTCCATCTCAGTCACTAGGAAAGCACAGGACAGTGCACCAGGCACGGGTAGCCCGTGGTAAGCAAGGACCTTCCGCAGCCCTGGGGTCCTCCTCTGGGCTGCAGAAAGAAGACATCCTGGCTGACCCAGGGAACAAGCCAAGAGACACCCTTTAACACAGTCCCACTCTCCAGACACGTCTGAAGTTGACCTTTACCTCATTTTTGGTTTTAACTGTCACAACAAAACTCCAGGAGTGCCGTGATCTGACCCTTGTGCTTGGGACTGGGGATAAATCAGATGTCACTCTTCGTCAAAACCTATTTTCCTATCATAACAGAGACCATAAAGCCCTTGACTGCACTGAAGACGGTACCTTCCAGAGGTCAGAACTCAGCTATGGTCCACAAAAGACAAGTCCAGTCTAGAATTAACCTATTCAGCCTTTAAGGGAAAGATACCTGGGCCTGGCTCCATAAGTCAGAAGGTCTCACTGAGTTGCTTAGCACCTGGCATTGCTGAGGCTGGCTTTGAACTCTTGATCCTCCTGTCTCAACCTCCAGGAGCCGGATTACAGGCACCGGATTACAGGCACTGCATGCACCACTGCACGCACCACTGCACCTGGCTAGCTGCCTGCTTTTGGCTGGCATTAAGTCACTAATTCTGGCCAGGCATGGCATTACATGCCAGTAATACCTGTGACTTGGGAGGTTGAGGCAGGAGGATCCCAAGTTTGAGGTCAGCCTCAGCAAATTAGCAAAGCCCTATTTCAAAATAAAACATTAAGTGTTGAGAATGTGGCTCAGTGGTGGAGCACTCCTGGGTTCAACCCCCATACTGGAGGCCTGGCCTTTCTCAGCTCTCATGTAGGTTGCACGTCTAAGGATCAGGTCACAGCCATGACGGCCTGTTCCTTGCCACCCACCTCAAGGCCACTCGTGTTGAAACCAGGGACCTTTCACCTGCGTCCAGACAACACCATCCTCAGATCTTGCCAATACCATTTTCTGAACCTGCATCCAAGAAGACGCCCCAAGATCAACTGCATACACTGACCACGCTTACTGTGTCTCCAGTCCCCCTTCACCCTTCTTCTCCCTCGCCCCCCCCCCCCGTGCACGTCCCTAACCCTACCCTCAGGAGGCGCCCTAGGGAAGGGTGGGGGGTGTAGGCCTGGGCCCGTTTGCCGTTTTGATCACAACTGAATGCAGACTAGCGAGAGCCACAGTCACCCCCGGCGCATCCCCGTGGCCTCTCCGGGGGTGGGGAGCGGCGCCTGCCGACCCTGAACACCGGCCCGCAGCGGCGGCACCAGCTTCGCAGAGCGCACGTCCGCCGAGCGGGGTGCACCTGAACCAGGGACCCCAGCCCACGGGAGCTCCGCGGGCCCCCGCACTGCCGCCCCGGGCCTGGAGAGGCCACTCGGCTGAGCCGGGGTCCCGCCGCCCCGCGCCGTGCGAGCATGCGCA